TTCTGACTCATGATCTTCTATCTGGTTTCTGAGACTGTAAATCTTTATCGGAGCAGAGAGACTCATTTGTCTCCCAAGGAGCAGGTGGTGGGTTTGAACCATCCATCTTGTGCTTAGCAGCCCAATGCTTTTCCCAATGAGCCACCCGGGGTAAAGGGCTGTAACAGTGATTTTCAGGGTCTCTGCACCCCAGTCTTGTACACACTCACTGGGAGCCCAGATGGACCAGGGAGCATTTCTCGCCCTGGTGTGGAAGATACGGAGGGTCCTGGCTGTCTCTTGTCACTTGCTCCTGTCGAAACCTCCCCTCACGCCTTTGGGGCCACCCACAGATCTCCCCTCTGTGGCTCACCTGCTGCCATCAGGTGGATTCTGACTCATAGTGATCCCACAGGTCAGGGTAGAATTACCCCTGGGGGCTTCCAAGACCGCCTATCTTTATGGGAGCAGAAAGCCTCATCCTACTTCCTCGGACAGGCCGGTGGTTTTAAACTGCTGACCTTGTGGTTAGCAGCCCAACGCTCAGCCACTAGGCCGCCAGGGCTGGCAACTCCTCTGAGACTCAGACTTGACAACAAAAGGCAGGAGCTATTTCTGTCCCCCGCCCCACCCCGAGCCTCCTGGCCCCCGGGGTTAGCTGCGGAAAGATGCCCAGCTGTGTAAAGACAACCCCGACTCGCTCTGTCTTGACTCAGGTCAATGGAAAACTTTCCGTTGAATAGTTTTTTTTCAACTGCCGCCTTAGTGGGTTCCAGCTGTGAAAATGTTCCCTAAAAAAATAACTTTATTGAGATATTGTCTCTCATGCAGTGTGTGCATTTAAAGTGGCTGTGAGTCCATCTGTTCTAGTTCCAGAGCCTTCTCATCCCCTACCCCCACTAAAGGAAATCCTGTCCCCACTGGCCGTCCATCCCCACCCCGTCCCCCAGGCCCGGGTAACCGATCTGCCTGCTCCCAACACTAGTGGCCTATCGGACACTGTGTGGTCCTTCTCGGTCTGGCTTCCTCCGCTCAGCATCCTATTGCTCTGAGTCAGGTATCCGACCTTCATTCCTTTACTTGCCTAGTAGTACCCCACTGGCTGGACGGACCATTCTCCCCACGGAGCCACCCATGGATGCGGATTTGGGTCGTGTCTACCTTTGGCTGTCCTGAGCATTGCTATAGTAGACATTGGTGCTACAAGTGTTTGGGTGGGCCTACCTTTCCTTTTCTCTTGAGTGTGCATCTACACGTGGAATTGCTGGGTGTCCTGGGGAGCCCTGGTGGCTTAGTGGTGCCGAGCCGGGCTACTAACCACAAGGTCAGCAGTTCAAAACCATCAGCCACTCCCTGGGAGAAGGATGGGTTTCTCTACTGCCATCGAGGGAGTAGACACTCACAGGGGCGGCTCTACCTGTGCTCCAGGCTTGGGGTTGGGGTTTGGGGGGAAGCGCCTGTTCAGGAGAGTCAGGCCGAGATTGTGTTTGTCTCCTTTCCCATCGCAGCAACACAGCTGCTGATTCTTCGAGGGCAGGCTGGGCACGGGGAAGCCTCATCCCATCCACCCTCCACCCTCCCCGTGCCCTTCCGGACTCCATTGGGTTTCTCAGACTACAACTCTTTTTTTTTTTTTTTTTGTGTGAGTGAGTGAATGAGAGTGAGTGAATTAGAGAGTGAGTCAGTGAATGAAAGTGAGTGAGTGAGTGAGAGAGTGAGTGAGAGAGTGAGTGAGAGTGAGTGAGTGAGTGAATGAGTAAAAGAGTGAGTGGTGAGAGAGTGAGTGAGTGAGAGAGTGAGTGAGAGAGTGAGTGAGAGTGAGTGAGTGAGTGAGTGAGTGAGTAAAAGAGTGAGTGGTGAGTGAGTGAGAGAGTGAGTGAGAGAGTGAGTGAGTGAGAGAATGAGTGAGTGAGAGAGTGAGTGAGTGAGTGAGTGAGTGAGAGAGTCGACTACAACTCTTAACGGGAGCGGAAAGCCCCGTATTTCTCCCCAAGGAGCGGCTGGTGGCTTTGACCTGCTGACCTTTCAGATTGATGCCAGCAGATGTCCTCTGATGAGCCTCGGGAGCCGTTCTCCTCTGTCCACCCAGGGTCCCCGCCAATCCAGACCGGCTAAGCCAGGAGCACGCTCCTCAGATAGGACCATTAGCCTAACTGGCCACGTGGGCCAGTGCCGAGCTCAGGAGCCTTCCCAGGGGGACCTCACAGGCCAGCCCTCCGTGCTCGAGAGAGCCCAGTCACCCTAGCACATGGGTGCTCGGCCTGGGGACCCCCAACCCTGGGACTCTGGACGACGGGAGCCCGCCCCGCAGCGACTGGCTGGTGACCTCCCTCCCATGCTCCCTCGCCCTCACAGTCCACCCACCTGGGCCAGCAGCGCTACATGGCCGCCATCATCCTGAGCGAGAAGCAGTGTCAGGAACACCTGAAGAACACCAACAAGAGCTGCGATGGTGAGGAGGGCGGGCGCACCCCCAGCCCCCCCTGCCCCCCCGCCCCTTCCTGGGTCTGAATCTCTTGCCTCCCTAGCTTTGCTGCTCGCCCTGGACCAGAAGGCCAAGACGCTGGAGGCGGAACTGGCCAAGGAGAAGGCCGTGTGCACCAAAGACAAGGAGGCCCTGCAGCTGAGCAAGCGGCTGGCGGAGGAACAGCTGGCCGAGTGCGGGAGGACGCAGGCCCAGCTGCAGCAAGAACGGCGCATCGCGGAGGAGCGGCTGCAGAAGGTGGAAGCCCTCTGCCACCTCTTCGACAAGGATAAGTTCGAGACCACCCTGCGCGACCTCTGGAGGGACTCCATCATCTCGCGAGCCCTGGACAGCCTGGGTTATAACCCCTACATCGGCTCGGAGGTGGCCTCCATCCGCAGGACCTGCGAACACATGCCCACCCTCATGACCACCAAGGTGGCGGAGCTGGCCCACAGCCTGCGCGCCGACATCGACCGCGTGGCCCGCGAGAACGCGGACCTCCAGCGCCAGAAGCTGGAGCTGGAGCGCAGCCTGCAGGCCGCCCAGGAGTCCAAGGAGAAAGCGGTCAAGGAGGCGCAGGCCCGGGAGGCTAAACTCCAAGCCGAGTGCGCCCGGCAGACCCAGCTCGCTCTGGAGGAGAAGGCCACTCTGCGGAAGGAGCGCGAGGGCCTGGCCAAGGAGCTGGAGGAGAGGAAGAAGGAGATTGAGTATCTCAAGATGCAGATGGCCGTCAGCGCCTCGGCCCTGGACACCTGCATCAAGGCCAAGGTGGGCTGGGGCCTCCAGACTCTGGCTGAGTTGGGTGATGGGGATCCGGAACTTCGAGGGGTGGGGTGGAGTTGGCTTTAGGGTTGACTTCCGCGTTGGGTTAGTTAGGACTCGCTCCAGGGTGTCGCTGGTCTTAGCAGTGGGGAGTCGGGATGGGGGACTGACGTTGTGTAGGATTAGGACTGGAGTTGAAGGGAGGGGGGCTGCTGCGGCTACAGCTGGGTGAAGAGGTGATGCCAGCTCGCGATTGCTTTAAGCGGAGAGAGGGAAGGCCCTGGACGAGATGGACTGCCACCGTGGCTGCCCCAACAGGTCCAGGCAAGCATGGGAACGCACGGTCCATTGTACGTAGGGTCGCTGTGGGTCGGAGGCACAGGGCTGGGTTGACGTAGGCATCGGAGGCAGACTTGGAATGGGGTGAGGCCTGGCTGTTGAGGCTAGAGTTGCCTTAGGCTTCCGGGCATGCATGGATGCAGGGCTTTGGGGCTGGCATTAGAACTGGGGTGGAGGGTGGAACGAGGAACCTAATTGAGAGCGAGGAGAAAGGGTTGGGGCTGGGGGTGAGTTGGGGGTGAGAGGCGTCCTATAATTGGTTTCAGGTTAGGGTGAGGGATCCATTTAGGGTTGAGACCAGGTTTCGGATGGGGGTTGGAGTCAGATGTATTTACCCTGACGCTTTGGAGAACATCTGGGTCACCAGGGTTGGTGGCGTCCCAGGGTGTTAACTCATGATGATACTCAATCCTGGGGGTGGCGGGGCTGGGGGAGGCAACACACCAGGCATCTCCATGGTGCCAGGGCCTACACCCCCACTCCAGGCTGCCCTGACCCCTCTGCCCATTAGGATCCTCAAAGCTCTTTCCCTCTTCCCCTCTCCCATGGGTGCAACCCTCTTTTCCGCCCGCCTGCTGCACCCGGCCGACAGGTGACAGGAGGAAGTGGGGATGGCTAGCCACTGCATTGGGTGACTGACGGGTCACACGAATCCCGTGATCTCACTGCCTTGGTGGACTGGCACCACCCTGCCAGGGGTCATGTTTGTGTTGTCCCGTCTGACCAAGTCAGGGGGCATCATATCCCCCTCCTCCTGCCCCCAACCCCCCGGTGGCGATGCCACTGGAGTCAGATTAGGGTGCAGGAAGACACTGGGATTAGGGAGAGGGCTAAAGGAATGGTCGAATCCCTCGGGGAGCACATGGCTAAGCAGGCCATCCAGGAGCTGAAAGCCGGCTGTTCGAGGCTCCTTGGAAGGTGAGTCTGGAAACTGACCCCCCAAAGGTCACAGGCTGGAAACCCCTAGTCTGCCTGCTCACCTGCTCATGGGGTCACCATGAGTTGGCATCAGCCACCACGCGAGTTAGAGAGGCCATTGACCCGTGAGGGGTTCAGCGATTGCGTCATCAGGCTGACCTGACTTTTCGTCAGCCCTGGTGGAGCGGCTGGTGGTTTTGAACGGCTGACCTGGTGGTTCCCGACTTGACCACGGGAGAAAGCATTAGTCTGACACCCACAGGGCCAGTTCTACCGACCCTACAGGGTCTCTGTGGGTCCAAACACACTCGATGGCAGTGAGTTTGGTTTGGTTTGGTGTCTGGAATTGGTTTGGGTGAAGTCAGGGCTCCACCCCTGGTTTCACTGCGCTTCAAGGTGCAGTTAGGTTGGAGTTTGGATAGTGAGAGAAGGGGTAGACGTTGGGTCTGGGTTGCCTATGGGGTGGCAGCCCTGGGGTTGGGTAAAGGATGAATCTAGTACCTTGGTTGCTATGGGACTGGGTTGGGGGCTAGGCCTTGGGGCTGGAGTTGCATCTGGTAGATGTAAGTGGCTGATGGGTTAAGAGGTGATTCGAGATCTGGAGCTGACAGTGAATTTAGAGCCTTGTTGGCCTTAGGATTGACAATGTCGACTTCAGGCTCTTAGGAGAGACAGGCAGTAAACAAGTCATGACCCACGACTAGCCAAGCGCCCACGGTGACTAAGCGTTCACTGCGATCTTGGCAATGCACTAAGCACTTGCTAGAGGACTTAAGAGTTGAGGTTGAGTTGGGTGTAGGGAGGCTGGTGGGTCTAAGGTCAGAGGTGGGCTGAGTTGGGGGGGAATCTGGGTTGAGGCTGAGGGGTGCTGGGATTGGGGTGAGGGTCAGGGCTGGACCTAGAACAGAACCAATGTGGATGTGGGTCTTGGGGTAGGGCTGGGCTGAGCTGGTTTGGGTGACTTGGACGTCTTAGGCATCTTTGGGTTTAAAGTTAGGGCTTCGTGGAACGCCGGCTGTAGGGCTGGGATGGATCTGAGGTTTGTGTTGGGACTAAGAATAGGATTGGGGTAAAAGTCAGATTACAGATCAATCTCTAGTAGAGGCTGAAGCATGATGTGGAAGCGGGGCTTAAAACACTCAGGTGGGCACGTGTAGCCAGAGGTCAGGCCCTTGGGGGTCAGGATTGTCATACTGAGTCTGGGGCAGGGAGCAGGGACATGGCTTGGGTTGGAGGGAGGAGAGCTAAAGACAGGGTCAGGCCAGGTTCTGATTGGGAGTGAGTTGAGGATGGAGCTTGAGTCTACGCGAGGCGTGGTTTTAAATTGGGAGCTGATGTCAGAACTAGAACTGGGTTCAGCCTGGAGGGATTTGGCTCAGGATTTGGGGACGAGTGGCATAGAGGATTCGGGGAGTTGGCTGCAGAGTGGGTTGATTTCAACTTGGGACGGCCCGGCTGGCTGGGTTGGCACCGTTGGCATTGTGGTTCAGGTTGGGTTAGAGCTAAGGTGGGGCTGTGGAGTGGGGTCTCTCCAGTCTCTGAGGGCTGGTGGTGGGCATGGGTGAGTGTACGGCTGTCGTGGGTTGCCCTTCTCTGTGAGGGTCGCTGTCTCTGTCCTGGAAGGCCTCCCACCCAGGTGTGGAGGGGCAGGGGTCTCCGGTGTTTCGAGCTCACGACCCCTACTCCTGAGAACCTCCCTCTACCCTCTTTTCCACAGTCCCAGACGATGTCTGTGGCCTTGCCAAGACCCGTGGGCCCTCTCCCCAACCCCCAGGCCATCGGTAAGTGACAGAGAGTAGAAGGGGGGGGGCGTGGGAGGTGTTCTTTTCCACCCTAAACCCACCCCAGCCATACTCTCCAAGGCTCACAGCCCATCCCCTAGCCTAGGGGCAGGGGCACTGGGATGACAGGTCAGGCTTGACTTTTCTCTCCCTCCACAGACCCAGCTGCCCTGGAGGAATTCAAGAAGAAGATCCTGGAGTCCCAGCGGCCCCCTGCAGGCAATGTGGTAATCCCCTCCAGGTGAGGTCCCCGGGCAGCAAGGGAGGCTGGGCCCCGAGCTGGCCCCACACTTAACTCAAAAAGTCACTGCCAGTGATTTGATGCCAACTCATAACGACCCTCTAGGACAGGGCAGAACTGCCCCTGTGGGCTTCCAAGACTAACTCTTGATGGAAGTAGAAAGCCTCGTCTTTCTCCCAAAGGAGCGGCTGGTGGTTTCAAACTGCTAAGCTTGGAGTTTTAGCAGCCCACTGTGTAACCCCTGCTCCGCTCTCACTGAGTACCAGCTCAGGGACACCGAAGCAAGCAGGACAAATCAGGTTCCATCCTCACAACCCCCCAGATTCGTGGCGAGGTGGAAGTGAGCCGAGGTTACAAAAGCCACCGAGGGCTCACAGAGGCTCTTCCTGTGAGCCCGGCCCGTGCTCAGCCCATCGGACCTTCACAATGCCGATGGGGGAGGACTGTTCACCCCCTTCTCCAGGTGGGGAGACTGAGGCACACAGAGGAGGGTGCTCCGTGTTGCTGTGAATTCAGGGCATTTAGAGGCCGACGAAGAGAAAAGACAGGCATGCCAAGACATGGGCAGCTCCATGCAGGGGACAGTCACTTACAGCAGGGGCTTGCTGCTGCTGCTGCGGCTGCTGTGAGCAGTCATCCAGTCGTGTGCCCACGCCTGGCGACCCCAAGCACAGTGGTCCTGCCCCCCCCACAACCCACTGCAAATCAGATCATCAGGATCCACGGGGTTTTTGTGGATGCTCAGAAGTAGATTGCATGCCTTTCTTCCTAGCCCACCCGGGCTGGTCCATACCGCAGCAACCGCAAGTCTCCTCGGACCGACGGGCAGTGGCTGCCCATGAGGTACATGACTGGGAATTCCACTACGGAATTTTACTGTCCCCAGGATTCTGCTGTCTCTGGCCAGTGCTGGGACGTTTCACGAGGCTTGTAAAGCAGGCTTGAGCTAAGTGGCTGCAGCCCTGCTTGTTGGAATCCTGCATTTTAAAAGGATTGGTTGTACAAACATTCCAATTTGACACTGGCAGGCTTTGAAGGGGGTTGCGGGGAGGCAGATCCTTGGGTCCTGCAAAAGGTGACGCAAAAGGTCCTGCACGTTCCGCTGCTAACTGAGAGGCTGGAAGCCCGAGTCCTCCCAGAGGTGATGTGGAAGAAAGGTCTGGCAACTTACTTCTGGGAGCAAAGCTGGCACCCATGGGTCCCCGTGAGTTGGAGACATTTGCACTCAGCCTGTTGTGTTTTATTTTGTTTTTTTTTGAGATGGGGGGAGGCTAATGGGGCTCTGCTTGCAATGAAGGGGCAGATACCGAGGCTGTAACAGAGGCCCAGGTGATAGTCAAAAGCCCAAGCCCTTTAACGCCAGCTGGGCAGCAAAGGGGTCAGGAGTCAGGAGGGGCCGGCCCCAAGGCTGAGTAGAGAGAACCCTGTCCCCTGCACAAGCAAAGGCCCTGAGACTGCACTGGGAGGGGAGGGTTTGCAGGCCAGCCAGGACAGGGTGCACCTGGAAGGGAAGGGGCCTTTTACATCCCTGCCTTCAGCTTCCACCTGGGTGGACACTTGGGGCCTGAGATCAAGGGCATGGAAAGCCCACCAATGGTAAACAGCTGGGGGGTGGGGACTTCAACGGGGCGAGCCAGGGGTACCTGGCCCCCGCTCAGCTTGTGGCCCTTTGCCAGTGACCCCCACCCAAACCCGAGGCCCGTCATGCCAGGGGCACGCTGTGCGTCATAGGGAAGGTGACTCAGATACCGCCTGAGAACATCCCGTGCTGGGCCTGTTCAGAAGTCCTGGATAGTCGTCTCCTTCAAGGTTACCGCTCAGGGCTCAGGGAGGGGCCGGGATTTAAAACCGGGTCCCAAAAAAATGTGTGCCTTCCATCTGTTTGCCTCCAGATGATTGCCAACCTCACAGTCTCGGGGAGGGAAACCGAGGCACACAGACTTCAAAGGCTTTGCCCTTTAACAACCCAGGTGGCTCCGTGTCCATCTCCACGATGCTGCTTCTTGCAGACTCCCCGAGATGGGGAGCCCATTCCCCTATCGAACTGTCCTCCAGTTCTTTGGGGACTGGCTCTACGTTCAGTTCAACCATACTGCCTCTCACATCTCTTACATACCCCTGGCCATGGGGAGCTCACTCCCTTACAGATCTGTCTTCCAACTCCCTGGTGGGGAAGGGGGACTCCATATTCAGGTCTACTACACTTTCTCTTACATAACCCCCTATGTTGGGGAGCTCACTCTCTTACAAAACTGCCCTCTCACTCTGAATCAGTTCTGCTCAAAGAAGCCCACAGGGAAGGAAGCAAGGGGGTCCAGGAAAGACCCTGCTCCAAACAAACATGACTTTTCTCCACCTTGGCCCCAAGCCCTCACAGTGAGGAAGGAGGGTCTATTAATATCCCCATTTCTCAGAGGAGGAAACTGAGGCCCCAGGGAAGTGACCACTCTGGGGTCACAAGGCGGCTGCCAGTCAGCCTGGGCTCCCAGCCCAGCCCTGTCCGTCCTGCTGAGAACCGGGGAAGCTCTTGACATTGTTTACCCAAGTGAGTCCCCCTGCTGAGAAAACAATGCCCATTCCAGCCTGAGCCCCGCCTGCCTCTCTAAGCAGGGCCACCTCTGGTCCACTGAACTCCAGCTGTGGGTCCCCACCCAGCCCCCCACCCCCACCCCCTACACACCCCCAAGCCACTGCACGGACTCTACCTGCTCCCTCACGCCCTCCCACCCTCTTCAGCCGAGGGCTTGGGTAGGGGTTGTGCCACGACGCCAACCGGGAGCCCCAGCGATTCTGGAACCACACACACACACACACACACACACACACACACACACAGGGAGCAGCAGGGTGGATGTGTATGGGCTCCAAGGTCAAGGTCTGACCCTAGACTCTCAACAGCCACACTGCACATCCATCTGACCAGGGCTTGTCAGAGCCCAGTGCCAGTTCACCTGGCCCTGGCATGGGGAGGGGGTGGGGGGGGACGGCTCACTGCTTTGCCATTTTCCCGGATTCAGGAAAATCTTGTCCAGGGCTTGCTGTGGAAGGAGACAAGACGAGGCGTTCTGCTTCTGTAAGCGTTCCCTCTCGGGAACCCACAGGGCAGTTCTACGCAGTCCTGTAGCTATGGGTCAGCGCCGACTAATGACAGCAAGAGTGTTAGCTAGCCCTGGCCTCTTCCTCTCTGCGCCCTGCAAATCCCCTGTTTGCAAGACTAGAGCCGACCCAGACTCAGTCTCGCCCCTGGCTTGAGGCCCAAGGTGTACTGGTTACGAAGGCCTTTGCTCTTGATGGTCAGGTGTCGGCCGGCATTCCTGGACGTAGTGGGGCTGTGAGTGGTTTGGAGAGAAACTGGTTTCAGGCAGAAATAAACCACCGACATAAAGACAAATGTTAAGTACAGGCAGTTGCCAGGCTGAGGACTTACAAACGTCTGACTTGAGTCCAACCTGTCCCTACAAACCAACCACTGGACACCTGCCATATGGAAAACGGGTGGACACACAATGGTTTGGGGTAACTCGCTGGTGCTACCTTGTGGCGGTCAGGCATTATTATTACTGTATTCTGTTCAAGATGGTGTTGTGTAGCTGGATGTTTCTTTGATGTTTTCTAATGCATAGAAAGATAGGCTCTAAACGGAAGCAACTTTTGGGCTAACTGATGTTAGAGTGTAGGGACCCTGGTGGCATAGTGGGTTATGGGTTAAGCTGCTAACTGCAGGGTCAGCAGTTCGAAACCACCAGACACTCCTCGGGAGAAAGAGGAGACTTTCTACTCCTGTCTCAGAAACTCACAGGGGCAGTTCTCTGGCCTACAGGGTCACTGAGGATCAGGGTCGATTGAGGACAGTGAGTGAGTGACATTAGGTGCAAACTGCAACTGGTTCCAACTGATGTTCGATGTAACGACAGATTTAGGACTAGCATTCGTTTGTAATCTGGACACTGTTGTGAGGATTGGTGCAGGGCTACGTGGTCGGAGTGGGCAAACATCACCAGGGGTTTCCCGAGAGGTTAAAGAAGTGAATTTGGCCCCCCACCTGAGGCTTTGAGCTGGCTCAGGTTCATGAGTGTTATGATTGGGAAGGGAGTTGCCGTGGGTTCTTGCCACTCCCACTGTAACAGTTGAGCAGCCAGAGGTCCCTGGGTTGTGCAAACAGTGCGTGTGCTCAGTTGCTCACAGAGAAAGGTGGGCAGTTTAAGTCCACCCAGAGGTGCCTTGGAAGAAAGGCCTGGTGATCTACGTCCGAAAAAATCAGCCGTCTAAACTCCCTGGGGCCCAGTGCTGCTCTGGCATCCG